AGGAGGAGGAGGAGGAGAGGAGGAGGAGGATGGGGGCGGGAGGAGGTAAAGAGGAGGAGGGGGAGGAGGAGCAGCAGCAGCAGCAGGAGGACGCAGGTTGGGCGGAAGAAGTTGAGGAGGGATGCGGAGGAGGGACGGAGAGGGGGAGACGGAGGGTAGGGGAAGGAGGAGGAGGAGGAGGAGGAGGAGGTGGAGAAGGAGGAGGAGGAGGAGGAGCAGGAGAGACGAGGAAGAGGAGGGGGAGCAGGAGAAGGAGGAGGAGGAGGGGGGAGGGAGGGAGGAGCACGAGGGAAGAGGAGGGCAAGATGGGATAGGAAGACGAGTAATTAGGAAGGTGGGGTGCTGATCGCCGTTGGGGCCTTCGAAGTGAGTAATGGACGTGTAACAGACGACCGTCAGGAGGTGGAGGAGGAGGAGGAGGAGGAGGAGGAAGGTAGGAGGAAGGTAGGAGGAGGAGGAGGAGGAGGAGGAGGAGGAGGAGGAGGAGGAAGGCAGGAGGAAGGTAGGAGGCAGGTATAAAAAATGGGGGAGGAGGAGGAGGAGGATGAGGAGGCTTTTTCCTGCGCCGCCTTCCTCCGAGGAGGCCGGAGAGACGGACGGCCTGCTCCGGCCGAAGCCTGGCGGCTGCATGCGCTTCTTCATGGGCGGCGGCAGCGACAGCGACAGCGAGGAGGACCTCAGAGGGGCGCCGCCTCCTCAGAGGTTCCCCGTTCACGTTTTACTCCCCCTCCCTGCCTCCCTTCCCACAGACTGCCCTTCCTCCTCCTCCCCCCTTCTCCTTACTCCTCTTTCTCCTCCTCTCCTCCTCCTCCTCCTCCTCCTCCCCCTCCTCCTCCTCTCTCCTCTCCTCCTCCTCCTTCGCCTTTCTTCTTTCACCCCCTTCCCTTTCTTCCCATCCTTCTCCTTCCCCTCCTCCTCCTTCCACTCCTCCTTCCTCCCTCCTTCCCTTTTCTCTTCCTTCCCTTTCTCCCTTCTTCACTTTGTCAGTCCCTCGTTGCTTCCACCTCCTCCTTTTTTTCTTCTTTCCTCCTCCCTCCTTTCTCCTCCTCTCCTCTCCTTCTCCTCCTCCTCCTCCCCCTCCTCCTCCCCCTCTCTGCCTCCCTTCCCACAACCTCCCCTTCCTCCTTCTTTTCCTCCTCCTCCTTTCCTTCCTCCTTCCTCCTTCCCTTTCTCCTTCCTTCCCCTTCTCCCTTCTCAACTTTGTCCTCCTCCCGCTCCGCCTCCTCCTCTTTTTCCTCCTTCCTCCTCCTCGACATCCTCTCCCTTCTCCTCCTCCTTCGCATTCCTCCTTCCCTCTCTTTCTCTTCCTCCTCCTCATCCCTTCCCAACTCTTTGCTTCTCCCTGCCTCCTTTTTCCTTCCCACCACTCTCCCCACTCCCTCCGTCTCTCACTCCGCCCTCCCTCGTCCTCTCAAACCTTCCTCCCTCCCCCATGCTCTCCTTACACCTTCATCTGCCTACCTTCGTCCCCTAGCCCCCTTCTTCCCTTGGACCTTCCTCGGGCGAGGGGGGGGGGGGGGGGGGGGGCTGGCTGGTCGGGGCGGGGGCTGGGGGCTGGCTGCCCGCAGGAGGACCTCGGGGGAGTCACCGAGCTGGGCTATACCTGGCACGCGCAGGCGCTCGCGCGCTCCGAGCAGCACGCTCAGGGAGGAGGGGGTGGAGGAGGAGGACCAGTGCAAACCCAAGACTTACCAACGATGCTGCAAGAAACAATCCCTCCACGCTCCCTCTTCCTAAGCATTCCTTTGCCTTGTGTTTCACCTTGCGGATGCATGTAGTGGCACTGCTGGACGTGATGTGTCACCGATTGTCATCCCGGGCACGCTGCAACCGGTCCACTATCATACGTCAGGGGACAAAGTTCCTTCTTCCTTAGTCCATTAAAGGATTCATCTTGGCTTAAGAAGCCATTCCGGCTCAAGGCCCCAGCACACAGTGAGACCCCGACGCACCATGGCACCCTGGAGGGAATGGGAAGCCGCTGCCAGGTCTGAATATGCATCGCAGCGTCGCCGTGACAGGTGAAAGATGGCAGACAGTATCTTCGAACTGATGTGCAATCGAAATGGGGCAGTATCCCATCAAGCTGACAGGTTTGACAGCAAGATCAAGAGAATCAGTGCTACCATGGGTGCGCCGACGAACATTTACGACCATCTACAGCAAACTAGGGGAGGGATGTGGAGGATGATACACAGGTCACTCTTATGCAGTAGTGTCTTTTGAACCATGCGGTACAGGTTCAACATCGCTTGGGCATATTGTTGGAGCGAAAAGAAAGGGAGCCATAACAACCCGCGGAAACGACAGGTGTTCAAGATGCCGCAACTCGGATTTATAGGCTTGAGCGCAATTTCGTTTGTTCGGTATCACCGGTGACACCACCAGTCGGTGAAGTGTTGGGCGAGCTACTAAACAGGACAAGCATTACGGGAAGGAGACTGGACATGTCCAGCCATCGTGTGGCTTATGTTGAGCCCCTGGCTGAGATTTACGGCGAGAGGAGCAGCAAATAAGACCATGAGCAGGAGCAGATTTCCGAGGAGTACGATTCATCATGCTACACTGGCGTGTGGGAGAATTTGTCGACCCGCCTGATCCGAGCGAGGCGCATGGAATTGTTTGCAACCACCAGCTGCAAAGACAGAGTGTTGTCAATTTCTCGGCCGAGGTGCGCGGAGTAGGAAGAAGCGCCAGATCTGGCCAGCTCGCTACACAAGTATGGCAGAATGTTGGCGGTATGCCCGCGATACCCTAGGACAGAAGTATCGAGGCATGAATTCGAAGTTCACGATGGGGATGTACACCAGACTTTTGAAAGGAGGGAGGGTGCGAGAAATTTCTTCGGGGGGCTTACGACCCACTGGCGAAATCGGATACATTCCTGCGCATCTGGTCTGCTGTCTTCGTTTCTGTTGCAGGAAGTGGCGCACAGCAACCTGTGACTCTTGCTTGCAAAGGGGCGCGTGGCAGAGCAGTGCCCCGACGTGCGCATCGCGAGGATGCAACGACAAGTACCACTGCATCTGAAGCTGCGGCCACGGCCGCATCGCGAGGGCCGAAATCCCCCCCCCCCCGGGGGGACGTTTTGCGCGCCTCGTGTCGCGTCGTATCTTCGCTGCGGGAAGGGCCCCGTTGCGAGACCATCGTCTGGAATCTCTCTACCGCGCTAGAGCACCATTCCTGAGACTTCGACGCCGCGAATCTGCGCAACTGCTGCGACCAGCCGATCCCCAATCGCGCCACAACACCATTCCTGGGCCGTCAACGCCGCGAGTCAACGTGACCGTCGCGCCCTGACAATCCCAAGCAGTGCCACAACGACATTTCTGGGACGCCAGCCATAATCATCTTCGAAACGGCTGTAACCAGTTGAGACGACAGTGCGCGGCGCTAAGGCGAGAGACGCATGGTTGAAAGGAGCCGCCCTCCATCCGTGAAACGGCTCCAACGTTTAAGACGAATGTGCGCGGCTCTAAGGCGAAAGTCACATCTTCAACATGGGCCGCCCTCCATCCGTGAAGCTCTCTGCAAACATTTGGCACGAATGCGCGCGGCGCTAAGGCGACAGCCACATGTTTGAAACGACCCGTCTTCCATCCGTGAAACTGTAGCAAGTTCCAAGCGTCATGGTCATCCATGGTGAGGAACTATCAGACGAAACGCCCGGCCCGCCCTGCCGATCCACCACGTTGTGGACAGGGAAAAGTTATTCACAAGGAAAAGGAGTGGATGAGGATGATGGGGAGGAGGAGGACCAGTGTAAACCCAAGAGTCACCAACAATGTTGGAACAGACCCTCCCCCAAGCTCCCTCTTCATAGGCCCCTACAGCGGTTCATTTCCACAGGGGGAACTGCCCCGTTGGAAGACAATCGTTTGAAGACCCTGAAGCATGCCAAAACATTGTTCTCGGGATTCCAACGCCACGGACCAATGCCGCCTGCCTTCAATCCGTGAAACGTTTTCGCAAATGCTAAAAGCGAATGTGCGCGGCGCTAATGCAAGAACCACAGTTTGAAACCGACCCGCCCTCCATCCGTGAAGCTGTTGCCAATATTTTCAGGCTTCAGGTTCATTAGCGGTGCGGAAGTCTCAGGCGAAACGGCCGGTCCGCCGTAAAAATAGGCTTCGGGGCGCGACAGGGAGAGATCATGTATAAGGAGAGGTGGAGGAGGAGGAGGAGGAGGAGGAGGAGGAGGAGGAGGAGGAGGAGGAGGAGGAGGAGGAATCGAGGCGGCGAATAATGGGGGAGAGGGGGTGCGGGGGGGAGGAGGAACAGGAGGAAGAGGAGGAGGAAGATGGGGAGGAGGAAGAGGAAGAGGAAGAGGAGGAGGAGGAGGGAGGAGGAGGAGGAGGAGGAGGAGGAGGAGGGGCAAGACGGGAGAAGGACGGGGTGGGGGAAGAGGCGGAGGATGAGGAGGGGTATGGGGAGGGGTAGGAGAGGGATGTAGGAGGCGGGAGGGGGGCAATGGAGGGAACGGGGTAGGGAATGAGGAGGAGGAGGAGGAGGAGGAGGAGGAGGAAGAGGAGGAGGAGGAGGAGGAGGAGGAGGAGGAGGAGGAGGAGGAGGAGGAGGAAAAGGAGCGGGAGCATGGATCGGTCGTTCGAGCCCGAATGTAAGCATGTGCTGTAGGAGTGGGGAAATGAGCGGGTAACGCGCCCTCCCGTAGCGAACCTTGAGAATGACAGTGGCAGCGGAAGCGGTCACCGCGAAGGGCGGACATGAGGAGGTGGAGGAAGAGGAGGGGAGGCGAAACAGGTGGTTTGTCTCAACTTTCCAGTGTTGGGTTCTCGTGTTGTAGCCCTGTGGTCTCCACATCCCCTTCTCCCGCCTCCCCTCTCTTTATGCCTCCTTTTGCGTTGAACCCTGGGTGGCTGCGAACTGCGCAGTCGTCGCCACTTTCGCGCGCTCCTGGGAGGTCAGCGGGGTCGGGGGGTGCACGCGCACCCAGACGAGACCTCGCTGCTCCCGGGGTGGCTGCGAACGGCACAGGTGTCGCCACGTTCGTGGGCTCCTGGAAGGTCCAGCGGAGTCGGGGGGGCACGCGCACCCAGACGAGACCTCGCTGCTCCCTGGGTTGCTGCGAACTGCGCAAGTGTCGCCACTTTCGTGGGCTCCTGGGAGGTCCAGCGGAGTCGGGGGGGCACGGACCCCCGGGAGTCCCGACCCTTTTCGCCAGGGCCAAGTGTTCATCCCGAGTAGTTTTGTTGACGGTCCCGGGGCCCAGCGAGGGCCCCGTGGTAATTGTTCGCGCGACGTCGTGATCCTTCGCACGACGTCGTGATTCTTTGGACGACGCGCCACGTCGTGATTCTTCGCCGAAGTCTGTCAAATAAACGTCCCGTCGTGATTCTTCGCGCGGCGCGAGCATGTCCGGGGGCAGGGGGGCCGCACCCTGCGCGCGCAGGCACTCATGTACTCCCGCGCGGCGCTGGACGACGTGCTGCGCCTGCGGCTCTGGGAGCAGATCTGGGCGCACGACGAGACCATCCCGCACCTCTACGGGCGGAGGCCCTGGAACCACAGGCGGCGGGCGGCGGGAAGCGCTGGGATGCTCACCTGCTCCTCTTTCCCTCCTGCCCCTCCGCAGTCCTCCTCCTCCTCCTCCTCCTCCTCCTCCTCCTTCTCCTCCCCCCTCCTTCTCCTCCCCCCTCCTGCCCCTCCCTCCTCGCCCTTCCCTCACCATTCCCTCCTGCTATTGTTCCTGCTCGTTGTCCTGGTTATGTGCGCCTTCTCCTCCGCTCCTTTTCCTTATAAGTACTTTCTCCCTGTCGCACCCCGAGGCCAGCTTTTAGAGTGGGCCGGGCGTTTCGCATGATAATTCTTAACCATTGATGACTGTGAAGCGTCAACATCGGCAACAGCTTCACAGATGGAGGGCGGGTGGTTTTCAAAGTGTGGCTCTCGCCTTGGCGCCGCGCACACTCGTCCTAAACAGTTGCGAGAGCTTCACGGATTGAGGATAACCCGTTTTCAACATGTGGTTCTCGCTTTAGCGACGCGCACATTCGTTTTAAACATGTGCAAGAGCTTCACGGGTTGAGGGCGGTTCCTTTTCAAAATGTGGCTCTCGCTTTAGCCCCGCGCACATTCGTTGATAACACTTGAAAGAGTTTCACGGAATGTCGTGATCAACGTACCAGATTGGGCGTTTTGGAAGGATTCAGGATTTTGCAGGTGCAACAGTTACGTTGATTCGCGGTGTTTAAATCCCGAGAAAGGCGTTCTGGCACGATCCAGGATCGTCAAGACGCAACAACCAAGTTGATCCGTGGCGGTGGAATCCCGAGAGCAATGTTTTGGCATGCTTCAGGGTCTTCAAACGGTTGCCTTCCAGCGAGGCAGCTCCCGCAATGGTAATGAACCGTTGTAGGAGCTTATGAAGAGGGAGCTTGGAGGGAGGGTGTATTCCAACATCGTTGATGGCTCGTGGGTTTACATTGGTCCTCCTCCTTCTCCTCCACCTCCTCGTCCTCCTTATCCTCTTCTTCTCCTCCTCCTCCTCATCGAAGCAGGAGGATGTGGAGCACGAGTCAAGTGATGACAAACCGCCCGGACCCCACAGTTGGCGTGTATAAGACGGCCTTGGGCGTTTACTAAACAGCCCTGCCCTGTTTGATTCCTTCCGTGGGTGCGTTTGCTAAACGGCTTCGCGTGTCGGGGTGATCATTATGGGGGGTGCATTTTCTGACCTCTAACGAGGAGGGTCCCGACGGAGGGCGGAGGAAGGCGAGGCATGATGAGCCTGATGGGTGGGGATGGTATGAGTGAGGGTATGACCATGTGACAAAGTCCAGGGAAGCTCCTGACAGCGAAACAAGCACCATCTATTTGCTCCTTCTTGCGTCTAGAGGCGTGCCCTGCACTAATCAAGACCTTTGGCCAGAGCCATCGAGAAGTACAGTCTAGATGTCCAGCTCCATCCAATTGACTGCGGCTAGTCCCGCAATCGTGCCAGCGCGTCACTGGGTGCGGACCCTTCTAACACCGACCAGAATGCCGTAACGTGTGACATGGTTCGTGTTAAACCCTGAGATGACTTTAGCATGCGACACGCTCTGACGCGTCGTGTCGCAGTGCCTCTCCTCGTCTTCGCCGCTGCCTTCTGCCCCTCCCCATTCTTCCTTCCCTCCCCTCCTGGGGCCTCCTGGGGCCTCCTGGAGGCCTCTTGGAGACCTCTTGGGGGCCTCTTGGGGATCTCCTGGGGGCTCCTCCTCCTCCTCCTCCTCCTCCTCCTCCTCCTCCTCCTCTTCCTCCTCCTCCTCCTCTCAGAGGACGGCCAGTTGGGACAACGGCGGCTCTCCCACCCGGCCCAAGGGCCGTCTGGGGGCAGTCTTGGGGGTCTCTTGCGCCTTCTTGGGGTCTTCCTGGGGCCGTTCTTGGGTCACTCCTGGAGGTCTCGCGGGCCGTCTGGGGGGCCATCTCGGAGGCCCCTCGTGCCGTCTTGGGCAGGCGGAGGCACGCGACCCTGATTTTCTACGCTCGGGAGAAATCATGGTTTTGGTCCCTTTGTACTCCAGATTTCGTAATAAAGGGAGGGGGGTCTCATTTCGGGGGGGGGTCTTTTCCAAGCTATCTTGGAGGGCCTGGGGGGGGTCTGGGGACGATGTTTTGGAGGGTTCTCCCAGGGGGGGGGTTCTAAAATTCTTTACGCTTCGCGTATCCCCACCAGCCCATCTCACAGCAGCAACTCTCGCGAAGCATGCCGACAGTCGTGTTTTTCAGGCGTGTGCCCGCTTGGCCCCGCATATCTCCCCTGTTCCTCCTTCCTCCCGCCTCCTTGTACATCCTCCTTGTGGGGGGAGCGGGAGAAGGACGAGGCGGAGGAGGAGGGAGAGAAAGCGCTCCTCGTGATTTGAGTCGTTTGGGGTTTCTCGTCCTGGTGTGAGTCGTTCGGGCCCTTCTTCCTGGTGTGAGTCGTTCGGGCTCTTCGTGGTGTGAGTCGTTCGGGCTCTTCGTCCTGGTGTGAGTCGTTCGGGCTTCTCGTGGTGTGAGTTGTTCGGGCCCCTCATCCTGGTGTGAGTCGTTCGGGCCCCTCCTCCTGGTGTGACTCGTTCGGGCTCCTCGTGGTGTGAGTCGTTCGGGGCCCGCGTCGTGGTGTGAGTCGTTCGGGCTCCTCGTGGTGTGAGTCGTTCGGGCGCCTCGTCCTGGTGTGAGGCGAGTCTTCGGGCCCCTCCTGTGGGGTGTGGTCGTTGGGCTCTTCGTCGTGTGAGTGTTCTCGTCCTGGTGGTGTGTTCGGGCTCCTCGTGGGGCCTCTTGGGGGGGGGCCTCGTTGGGCTTCTCTCTTGGGGGCCTCTTGGGGGCCTCTTGGGGCTCTTGGGGCCGCGGGGCCTTGGGGGGCCTCTTGGGGGCCTCTTGGGGGCCTCTTGGGGCCTCGTGGGGCCTCTTGGGGGCCTCTTGGGGGCCTCTTGGGGGCCTCTTGGGGCCGCTTGGGGGCCTCTGGGGGGCCTCTTGGAGGCCTCTTGGGAGCCTCCTGGGTGCCTCTGGGGGCCATCTTGGGGCCTCGTGCGACCTCCTCAGAAGCGCAAATGAGAGCTGCCCCCTGAGAAAGACAAAATGAGCCCAACACCTTCGTAAAATCAATGATTTTGCTATGAGGGAAGATGAGCGCGGCCCCCTCAGAAGGCCAAAATGGGGCCACAACCCTCGTAAAATCAATGATGTCTGCCTCAAAGAGGAGCAGAGGGGCCAAACTCGGCCCCCCCGTCGGGGCCAGAATCCTCGTGAGGGTCGTCGTTTTTTGGCCCTCCGAGGAGTCGAAATGAACCCCCCTGAGAACACTCGGGGCTCCCTGTCCAGGCCCAGGGGGAGGGGGTAGGGGGAGGGGTAAACCCCTCCCCGAAGGGGAAGAAGGGGGGTTGGGGGGTTGAGAACAGAGAAAGCTCTCTAAACCACTCACGCCCAAAGGGCTGGTGGGACTTCTCGTCTGGGAGGGTTGAGACCCCCTCCCTTTTATTACGAAATCTGGAGTACCCTCCTGGGAGTCCTCCTGTAGCCATCTCGGGCCTCATTGGGGCGGGGGCTCTTCGGCCGACTTGAGGTCGTCTTCGGCGGTCCTGGGGCCGCCTTGATCCTGTTTGGAAGCATGCGAGGCCATCTTGGCGGCATGGCGGCATGTATGGACTTCCTCGGCCGTCTTTGAAGTCTCGCAGGGCCTTGGAGAAACATATTCATGCTGTCCCATGCTATCCAGTTCTCCTCTTTGCATGAGCCCTGCTCGTGCTTCCCTCCGCTGTGCGATGCTGATGCGTCGCGAGTGCTGTGACATGAGGCGTTGTACTAGTATCATGTGCAGTGCCATGCGACGCAACATGCAATGCTAAGCGAAGCCGAGCACGGCCACCGGGGAACTCCCGGGGGGGACCCCGAGGACCAAGCGGGACCCCTCACGTTCGCTTGGGACCCCCAGGGAAACATGAGTAACGGATACAGTTACCACCAGCCTTCGAACTCGAGGGTGGCATAGATCCTTTCTCCAAAGCCCACGGGAAAATTGTCATACATGACGCGGAGAAACAGCATGGTATGGAGAAGGAGGAGGGGCTGGAGAGGTTGATGGTTATGATGATGCGGATGGTGATGGTGATGGTGATGGTGATGATGATGATGATGATGATGATGATGATGATGATGATGATAACGATCAATATGATGGTAATGGTGATCATGATGAGGATGATGATGGTGATGGTGATGGTGATGAAGATGATGATGACGATGATGCTGATGATGCGGATTATGATGATGATGCGGACTATAAGGATTACGCTGATGATGATATTGATGATGTTGATGCTGATGATGATGATGAGGATGATTATGATGATGTCGATGATGCTTATGATGATGATGATGATGACGATGACCATGATGATGATGATCATGATGCTGATTATGATTATGATGATGATGACGATGATGATGATGCTCACGATGATCATGGTGGTGATGGTGATGCTGACGACGACGTTGATGATGACGATGATAATGATTATGATGATGCTGATGATGTTCCCAACGACGATAATTATGATGGAGATGCTGATGATGATGAGGATGTTGTTGATGGTGATGCTGTTGGTGGTGTTGTTGATGATGCTGGTGATGATGAAGATGCTGCTGATGACGATGCGCATGATGGTGGTGACGACGATAGTGATGCTGATGGTGATGATGGTGGTGATGCTACTGATGACGATGATGATGATGCTGATGATGATGATGATGATGTTGATGATGTTGCTGATGAGGATGAGTACGATGATGACGACGGTGGTGGTGATATTGTTGGTGGTGTTGATGGTGATGATGATGACGATGATGCTGTTACTGATGCTGATGATGATGCTAATGATGATGCGGATTATGTTTATGAAGCTGATGTTGTTGATGGTGATCATCATCATCATACTGCTGATGCTGATGATGATGCTGCTGATGTTGATGATGATGTTGATGATGCTGATGATGATGATGATGATGATGATGATGATGATGACGACGATAGTGATGATGGTGACGACGATGACGATGACGACGACGATGACGATGACGTCGATGATGATGAGGATGAGGAGGAGGGTGAGGAGGAACATGCGCATGGTGATGAGGAGGAGGGAGGCCGCAGGAGCAAGAGCAGGAGGAGGGAGGGAATGACATCTTCTGCAGCACGTCGGGCCAGCAGTGGCCCTGGGCTGCCCGAAAAGGTACGTGGACGCTCTGCGCAAGGCTGGCTGGGAGCGGCGCTGGATCGCTGGGGCGCCCACAGATTTCCTCGAGGACCAGGGCTGGGAGGAGGAGGAGGAGGAGGAGGAGGAAGAAGAGGAGGGGAAGGCGGAGGAGGAGGGGGAGGAGGAGGGGGAGGAGGAGGAGGAGGAGGAGGAGGGGGAAGAAGAGGAGGGGAAGGCGGAGGAGGAGGGGGAGGAGGAGGGGGAGGGGGAGCAGGAGCAGGGGGAGGGCGAGGCAGTGTGTTCCATCGTGGCCTAAAGACCTGGATCGTTTCACGCTGGATCTCACAAATTGCACTGATGTTGCCGATGCGGCGACGTATTTATGCGGCACAGAACCATCCTCCCGAGCTGGCCGAGCTGAGCGATGTTCGAAAGGCGGTCTACAACAGGATGCTGGTACGTTCGAGGTCGCAGGCAGCTGCCGTGATCTTGATTTCATTTCTGCAATTATGCGGGTGAGCGGGCTGCAAACGCATTGCGTCCAAAAGGTCCATCGAGGCAAACAAAATTGGAGTTCATTAGTCGCGGTCACGACCCATGCAAATCCCCGCGCTGTTTGTATGCAGTCTGTTCTTGGCCACCATCGCTAGATACTAGATGAGAAGACGAGGAAGTCAATCTGACTCCGACTCGGTCTTCTGCTTCAAGCTGGCTGGCGCGATTGTCTGTCACTGTCCGGTGCGCGCCGTGAGCACGGAGTGCTGGAGTAACCATCGCAAGGTGCACGGTGTTGGGTTGGGTTGGGTTGGGTGGTCTGGCTTGCGCCGTAACTACAGTCGGGGCGCTGAAGAAGGAGCCCTTCTCGTTGGGGAGGGGCTCCGTGTTCCCTGAGTGTTTCGCAGCTTGCCTCAGGGTTTCCTTAGGTTTTCGATTGGACATCGAAGTTCAACTTATGGAAAGTAGGGGCCTCGTTCCTTATTTAGGGTTCCTTGGGTCAACGCCCCGACTGTAATCATGCTGGCGCGATCTCGCGCTCGGCTCTGGCAGCCACCTGGGGCTTGCCCTCTCGAGCCCCGGGCTCGGCTGCTCGGACCCCAGCTCGTTTCGGACTGGCCCTGGCGCTCCCGCGCGAGGAGGCCAGTGCAGTTGCGTCGAAGCCTGTTCGGGGGCTTCGAGGTAGTGAAAAAAACGCAAACGGAGGTCAGCCAGAGCGCCGAATCCTGCAGGATCCCTCAAAGACAGGATTGGATCGACCCGGGCTAGCGCACAGGATCCTGCGGGATCTTGCAGAATCCTGCATGATCTCGCAAAGCCCGACTGACGACCCGGGTCTGCATTGACCCGGCCCAGTATGTCACCGACTTTGCCGGTTGTTGGCCCCCTCTACGAGGGAGGCCGCGTCCACCACGAACGTCTGCTATGTGCTCGAGCGGGTGGGGATCTCGGAGCAGTTTCTGAGGGCATCGGCGATCGCCCTCCTGGGCCCGACCATGGGGGAGCCTGCGCGCGACGTCTGGGGCCGCCGCGAGGGTGCGAAGTTAGTCGCGCTTCGTGGTCTGGACGATCTCAGAACGAGGCGCGAGCCCCTCATATCCTGTTCCAGCGGGGGGGGTTGGGCAGCGCGAAAGCGCGAAGAGAGTCGCGCTTCGCGCTCCGCGGAGCAGAGAGCGCGAAGATGGTTGCCCTCGGAGGGTGGTCCGAGGCAGGCGGCGGCCACGGGCAGAGGGCGGGCAGGGGGGTGGCAGGGAAGGCTTCTTGGAAACACCCCTGCTTCCTGGAAGGCGCGGGCCTTCTCTACAGCTGTCCATGGCCCGCGCCCGCGCCCTC